CAGGACGATCCAGATCATCCTGGACGATCCTGGAGCAAATTTTTGATATTACAGTCCCCTCGTTCATGCCGGCATATGCATCTCTCTCTCTTTCTCTCTCTCTCCTGCTCCCTCCACTCTCACTCTCACTCTCACTCCCAAACAAACTCAGTGTATATTCACTCTCGCGCGCTCGTATTTATTAGATTCAGTGTAAGCCCTCTGCCTAACTTTAAATTGAGCCACAAGGCGTCGCCATTAACGGAATAAATTTTGGTAAGGCCAAATTTTTTAAGAAACACTACTAAAAATATATGTTTTTGGCATCATTTTATTTATTTTTAATTAGTCCTATAACCGCTAAAATCTCTGCTAAGTGTCCTACAATAGCGATTATTAAACCGCCGCTAAAATCTTTCTAGCGAATGCAAATACAGTGTATGTGTAGCGATTTTTAAACCGCTGCAAAAAATTTTACAGGTGTTTAAACCGTTGTGGTAGGATAGAAAAAGCGATGTAAAAGCCTTTTTTATAGTGCGAAGCATGATAATAATCAAAATTAGTAAAAGGACTATCGATTAATAAAAATTTAAATAGGAATAAATACGCTAAATTAAATGACGTATTTTAAAATAATAAATTATTTGGCGCTGAGAGAATACACCATTTAATTTGACGTATTATACTAATGCGTAGAGAGAGAGAGGGGGGAGAGAGAGACCAGAGATTTGGAGAGTTGTTTCCTCCTCTCTCTCTCTCTCTTCACTGTCAACTGTCATATCCAAGGTTATCAGAATCGGACCGGACCGGCCGGTTCGACTGGTTCAACCGCGAACCGGTCCGGCGGGCGGTCCGGGGAGAAGGAGTAACCGGCTGATTCAAGAACCAGCCAAAAACCGATTTAAATCCCGGTTGAACCGCTGAACCGCTAAACCGGGGGGTTATGAAATAACCGGCCGGTTCATTAATGATGAAATTTGATCCCTTGATCTGCGATCCAACGGCTTAAAATTTTTTGGTATCGGTACTTCGTATAAGTGTCGCTACTCAACTCGTCTCCTGTATACCCTAGCATACGCGAACGAAGGAAGTCGGGAAGGGAGAAGTCACGGAACGAGACGCCTGCCTCAGACGATCCCGACGGAGATTCCGCTTCCGACCTCCCAGCCGCCTCGGACGATCCCGACGGAGCTTCTGCCGCGAACGAGACTCGCTTTTGGCCTCCTACCCGAGCAGTCGAGCTCAGCCCCGCAGCCGCAGACCGCAGGTTCTTAAATTTTTTTTTGTCATTTTTTATGCATTTAAGCTTGCATTTATTCTCCAAAGTCCAAATCGTATATGCTTGCATTTCTTCTCCATTTATGCTTGGTTTGATTTGTTCAGATTTTGTGGTTTTATGGTATTTGATTTATGCTGTGTATTTTGGAGAAGAAATGCTTGGTTTGATTTGTTGCAGTCATTAATATTTGTGGATTTGTTCAGATTTTGTGAATTTGTTCAGAATATTTGATTTAGGGTTTAGGGTTTGACTTGTTGCAGTCTTTAATATTTTCTGTTCTTTGCATGATGAGTGATATTGTCAATGTTTGAAGTAGCTATTGCGGTGTTAGGATAGTTGGATTTAAAGATGAAAGTATGAAACAAGTGCTCTTTCATTGTAGAGAGAAATATGCCAATTGAGTTAGAACTTAGAAGCTGAGTTATATTTATAAATTTCAGAAGGAGTATTTTGATTCTTATTCTAAATATTCTTCGCAACTAACTGTTTCGTCTCATAGAAATATGCCAATTCTATATATTGCTTGTTGCAGTCTTAAATATTTTGTTGTAAATTCAGAATGGATCAACCAACTGTTTCATCTCATAATGTGCGTGAAAAGATCGATATTGCTTGGGGTCATTGTAGTGAAAGTAAAGATACAGATGGGAAAAAATAATATAGATGTCTACATTGTGGGATTATATACAAAGGTGGAGGAATTAATAGGATAAAACAGCATCTAGCAGGGATAAGAGGTAACATAGCTTCGTGCAAAAAAGTTCCACATGACATTCGTCATCAGATGCAAGAGAATCTAAGAGAAATAGGCAAGAAAAAACAACAAACCCAGGAGGAGTTAGAGCAAAACACAACAGTTTTTGTTGATGAACATATAGATGAGGAAATGGGCTCTTCATCACTTCCCAAGTCACAAGCCTCTGATGCACATCATGAAGGACTTCATAAAGGGAAGAGAAAGAAAGATGACATAGATAACTTTTTTGCACCAAGAACTAAACTTGGATCTCAACCATCATTGAAAAGTGTAATGGCATCCAAAGAAGCCATACACCGTGCTGATTTGGCAGTTGGGAGATGGTTTTACGACAGTTGCATTCCATTTAATGCCATAAATTATGCTTTTGCACAGAAGGCTATTGATGTGATAGCTGCAATTGGCCCTGGTTATAAGTTGTCATCCTATCATAAGTTGAGGGTTAATATTCTGCAAGATTGTAAAGAGGAGTGCAAGCTGTTGATAGATTCATATAGAAGATCTTGGAAAGAAATTGGTTGCACACTCATGGCAGATGGATGGACAGATAACAGGAATAGAACTTTGATTAATTTTCTTGTTTATTGTCCAAGGGGCATTGCATTCTTGAAATCTGTGGATGCTTCTGATATTACTAAGGATGCCAAAACATTATGTTCATTATTTTGCGAAGTTATTGAATGGGTTGGGCCAGAAAATATTGTACAACTTGTAACAGATAATGCTGCAAATTATAAAAAGGCAGGGGAATTACTGCATGAAAGGTTTGGTAACATTTGTTGGTCTCCATGTTCTGCTCATTATTTAAATCTTATTCTTAGAGATTTTGGGAACATGACTCATATTCAAGATCTTGCGAAAAGAGCTTCAAAAGTTACAGTTTTTGTCTACAATCATGTCTTTATTCTCGCTTGGCTAAAAAAAAGAGAAGGTTGGAAAGAAATTATAAGGCCCGGAGCTACTAGATTTGCTACAACTTTCATAACTTTGAAAAGCTTATATGAACACAAGCTTGATTTGCAGGCTTTCATAACAAGCAAAGCTTTCTTTGATTCAAAGCTCTCCAAAACAGTTAAAGGGCAAGAAGTCTCATCGATCATTTTGAATACAAAATTTTGGAATGACTGTTTTGTAAGTTCCAAATTGACTGGGCCTTTAATTCGATTA